TATTCCCATGCTTAAACTAACCTCAATGGCTTCCCATCCCTCTTGGAATGAAATTCAGACTTCTTTCCAAGGCCTACATGACTTTACATTTGTTGGCCCCTGCCTTTCTGTCTGACCTTATCTCCTGTTACTCTCTCCCTGGCTCACGCAGGCTTGGCCCTCCTTCTGTCTGACAGGCTGAAGTTTGTTTGCCTTCTGTTCAGCACTGAGGATCAGGCGTTTCTTCCTACGTCATAGTACCTTGCTGTATTTATGACAAGATTATACATAAACTATGAAATGGCAAAATAAATAAGAAAAAGGCTTTTGCAGGTGGCGATTTATGTTTTCAAAGCTTTGTCACTGAATTTGGTTTGAAAGGAGCCCTACATTCTTTTCTTTGACCAGCTATTGCCTTGGTTACAGCTACCCAATTTTTTTGATGCTTCGCCAAGGAGCATGAGATCATCTTCAGGAAACATTCATTCCTTCCCTTTTTTTGGGAGGTGGGAGGGTTGGGGGGTATGGGGAGATCCACTCCTTTGGCCACATTTCAGCAAAGAAAATGTGAATTTTAAGACAGTATTGTTATATTTGGGAGGTTCCAGGCAGAGCAAAATGAACAAAGTTAAACTTAAGCTAGTTTTTTATTCATTTATCATAAAAGAAAGATCCACAAATGTTTCATTTTAAAGAGAACTTAGATCTTACCTTGTTCAGCTTTCTTAATTTATAGGTGAGGAAATTGAAGCATAAAGAGAAAATATTACATCCTACAGAATAGTCTTTCACCCTTTGATATATTTACATTACATTAAATAATCAGCCAAGGAATTATTATTCCATTTAACAGGTTAGAAAAGTGAAACTCAGAGATGCTATTTGCTGAGGCCACATAACTAGCTATAAGAGGTTCAGCTGGGACTGAAACTCAGGTCTGACATTAAATGCCATACCATTTTTCTTATGCTGTGTTGCCTCCCAGAGAGGAATTGTAAGCTGTTAGAAAAGCAAATTCGCATTGTTAGTTGTTACCGTATATGAATTTTAAAGGTTGTGATCTTTATTATAAAAGTCAATTTTCAAGTTTCTACATGAAATGTTTTAAAATTGCTAGAGTTCTTGAAATATCTTATACATGTGATATATTATACAATATATTCATTTTATAATCAGAAAAAAAGCTGAAGATGATAAAAATAAAATTGATACATGTATACCAGAGACAATTTGAAAATTAGAGTGAAATAAAACACCAACTATTGTTAGCATTCTGGTATATTTATGTCTGGTCTGTCTTTTTTTTTTATTGGAGAATTGGGGGGATGGGAACAGTGCTGGGGAATTGGGGGAAGGAGAACAGACAAGTTGCTGTCGTTTTCTTTTGTTCTTCAGTCTAGTTGTGGAGGACGTTGCTTCACTGGCCCAAGTTGGCACCATCATTGCGCTCTTCCCAGGTGAGGCACATCAGTCGCCGTCTTCTGGACGGCCGCTCACTGCGGCTGCTGGCCGCTCACGCTGGCTGCTGGCTGCTCACGCTGGCTGCTGGCTACACACGGTAGCCCATGGCAACCCACTGCCATAGGGGCTGCAACCTATGCCATTGCTGGCGACTCACAGCAGCCCAGCTCCAGGTTGAGCTATTGTTCAGCATCTTAGCTGTGGAGGGCAGTGTCACTGGCCCTCATATGTGGGATCCGAACTGGGGCCCTCTGGCGTCCCAAGCCAGCTCTTAACCAACGCGCCACTCGGCCGGCCCTGGTCTGTCTTTAATGTATTAATTTTCTTTCTCCATAGCTGTGTTCTCCAGGTGCATGCTATTTTTAAAGCAATGTAGAGTGGTTAGTTTCTAAGAACTAATAAGTTTTATTGTTGTACTTGTTTTCTTCTTTAGTTTTTAAATAACATTTACCACATAGGTTATTTTATTTCTTATTGTCTTCTCATTGCAGGGTATGTCTTAAAACAAATGAAAATGAGAAATCATTCTGGAAAAAATTCAAAATATTCTAATATAAATGGCTTAAGAGAATGAAATTATATTGTGATAAGCACAAAAACAAAGGCTTGGGGTCTTATCTAGAATAGTAAAAAGCTCCAACATAATAATAGGCATGTAGACTGTAGGAGTGAAATATTAAAAGTGTATATATTTACAATTTTTTAATAAGAGTAGCAACATGACCTTTTCTTGTCACATTGCAAATGGCATGTGATTTGAATGCATCTTGCCCCAAATGTCCATATTCTGTTATAGAACAGTTAACTTTTCTGAGGTAACGTTTTATACTAAAGTTTAAGACTTTATCAGAACTTTCTTTTTCTTAAAAATTATTTCCATTGTACATTTTTAATAGGGGGAGAGCAGGTTGACAAATTTTACACATAATGCAGATTTTGACTATTCCAGCTTGCAGAATACTTTGGCATTTAAGATTATTTTATTTTTAGAGCTGAAAACAGGAGTGTCCTGCTATGTCTTTTCCAGCAACTTTTATTATCACAAAGATACATATCTAAAAAGGAATCAGAATACAAGAATATCTGGAAAGAAATCAGTACCTTAAATATTTATCACTGTGTGAGGATGTACTGTTTTGTTATATATATGAAAAATATCATTAACACTATCAGGCCTTAAAAATTATATGATTAAAAATGATGATATTTAGGGCCAGCCGAGTGGCTCGTTGGTTAAGAGTTGTCTTGGGAGCGTGAGCTCTGAGCAGCAGGGCCCTCGGTTCAGATCCCACATGGGCCAGTGACGCTGCCCTCTACAGCTAAGAAGGTGAACAACAGCTCGACCTGGAGCTGGGCTGCCATGAGTCGCTGGTGACGGCGTAGGCTGCAGTGGGACTGCAGTGGGCTGCCATAAGCTACCGTGAGTTGCCGGCAGCCAGCATGAGCAGCCAGCAGCTGGCGAGAGCTGCCGTGAGCCACCATGGTTGGCGACCAATCTGCCTCAGCCGGGAAGAGTGCAATGATCGCAATACCAGCATGGGCCAGTGAAGCGACATCCTCCACAACTAGACTGAAGAACCAAAGGACAACAACTTGTCTGTTCCCCTCCCCCAATTCCCCAATAAAAAAATCTTAAAAAAAAAAAGATGATATTTAGATGCAAGTTTGATTTAATTCAAAGTTAAGTGTTCAGATAATAAAGCTTTGAAGATGTGTTTCCCAATAGGCTCATGATGTTTCAGGGAATTCTGCTGTAATTACTTAAGAATTGAAATTTGATTAGAAAACCTAGGGAAAAAAATGGATAAATTCCTAGAAACACACAACTTTGCAAGACTGAATGAATCATGAAGAAATAAAAAGCCTGAATATACAGATTACAAGTAATGAAATTGAATAAGTAATTTAAAAATTTCCAAAAAACAAAAGTCCAGGACCAGATGGCTTTATAGGTGAATTCTCTCAAACATTTAAAGAAGAGTTAATACCTATTCTTCACAAATTATTTAAAAAAATTGAAGTGGCAGGAATGCTTCCAAACTCATTTTATGAGGCTAGCATTACCCTGATACCAAAACCAGACAAAGACATCACACACACACACACACACACACACACACACACACACACACACACACACAAAATTACAGGTCAATATCCCTGATGTACACAGATGCAAAAAACCTCAACAAAATGTTAGCAAACTGAATTGAACAATACATTAAAAGAAGCATACTACCATGATCAAGTGGGATGTATTCCAGGGATGCAAAGATGGTTCAATATCCTCCAATCAATCAATGTGATAAAACTACATTAACAAAACAAAAGTTAAAATCATATAATCATTTCAATAGATGCAGAAAAAGAATTTGATAAAATTTAACAAAGGCCATTTATGTCAAACCCACAGCTAACATCATACTCAATGGTGAAAAGCTGAAAGCTTTTCTTGTAAGATCAGGAACAAGACAAGGATCCCCACTCTTGCCACTTTCATTCAACATAGTACTGGAAGTATATAGTTAGGCAAGAAAAATAAATGAAAGGCATACAAATTGGAAAGTAAGAAGTAAAACTGTCACTATTTGCAGATGACATGATACTATGTATAGAAAACCCTAAAGACTCTCCAAAAAAATATTAGAATAAATGAATTCAATAAAGTCACAGGATATGAAATTAATATACAGAAATCAGTTACTAATAACAAGCTATCAGGAAGAAAAAAATCCCATTTACAATTGATTCAAAAAGAATAAAATACCTAGGAGTAAATTTAACCAATGATGTGAAAGACCTGTACACTGAAAACTGTAAGACATTGATGATGACACAAATAAGTGGAAAGATATACTGTGCTCACAGATTAGAAGAATTAATCCTAAAATTTATATAGAACCACAAAAGACCCTGACTAGCCAAAGCAATCGTGAGAAAGAACAAATCTGGAGGTATCATGTTCCCTGATTTTAAACTCTACTACAAAGCTATAGTAATCAAAACAATATGGTACTGGCATGAAACCAGACATGTGGATCAATGGAATAGAATAGAAAGCCCAGAAATAAACCCACACATAAATGTTCAATTAATCTATGACAAAGGATGCAAGAATATACAATGCAGGGAAAATCTCGTCAATAAATGGTTTTGGATAACTGTACCACTATCTTATAACATATATTAAAATAAATTCAAAATGCATTAAAGATTTGAAAGTAAGACCTGAAACTATAAAACTCCTAGGAGAAAATACAGGCAATAAGGTCTTTATCATCGGTCTTTGCAATATTTTTTTGGACCAGTCTCTTCAGGCAAGGGGAATGAAAGCAAAAATAAGCTAATACGATTATATCAAACTAAAAAGCTTTTGCACAATGAAGGAAACCATCAACAAAACAAAAAGACAACCTATTGAATTGAACTCTGTCCAATCCCTGTTGGATAACTTAGTTTGGTTGATTCTTAAGGTCTTTTGTTTGCAGGTATGATTTATATAAAGTTACTGCACTTTCAGAATAAATCTTTAACTTCTTAAAATACTTTGCTTCCTTTAGGTGCTTGTTTAAATTGCCAGGAAAATAGCAAAGGGGACCACTGTGAAGAATGCGAAGACGGATTTTATCAGAGTCCTGATACCGCTAGAGAATGCCTCCGCTGCCCTTGTTCAGCAGTGACATCCACAGGCAGTTGTATCCTAAGTAAGGCCTTTCTCTAAACTGGTGTTTTTAGAGGAAAAATCAGTGAGTCAGTTATCAAGTGTGTTGATAAATAAAGTTTTGGATGCTGTAGGTGAAAGGATGTTATAAAAACAGCAAAGGGATTCCTGTTAGGAATTTGCAATCAAATCCAAATATATATGAGTATATGCAATGAGACTTGAGGTAGGGATGAAGACTTTGTTAAAACCATATTTTATTTCATCTGTCATGACTAAAGAGAAGGGAAAGAAAAATTATATGAGTGCCTGTTCATCACATTCTTCGGATTTCTTATGTAAGCATATTTCTTTTGTTCTCCACCCCAATAGTTTCTCTGATGGCCCATCATTTTCCCAGTAAACTGGATAATTAATAAAGCATAGATTATTAGTTTGATTCCATGTGTCTCTTAAGTTGGATATAGTTGGGAGGGTTTATAAATCTCTTTGAGGACCAGTAGTTGTTTTTCGTTTTCACCTGTAGCTTGAGACTGTACTAAATTATTTTGATGTTCTCTCTGTTTTAGAATTGGGTGAATTGGAACCTAAATGTGTCCAGTGTAAAAATGGTTACACAGGCCAGAACTGCAATAAATGCGAAAATGGGTATTACAATTCTGACAGCATCTGTATGAAGTGCCAGTGTCATGGCCACGTGGACCCAATCAAAACTCCAAAGATTTGCAAGCCCGAGAGTGGTGAGTGCATCAACTGCCTCCATAACACCACTGGGTTTCGGTGTGAGAAGTGCCTAGAAGGCTATTTCCGAGACCACGAAGAAAATTGCATCAAGAAAGGTAAAACTTCACCTAAGGTTTCAAATTTAATATCTAAGTCTAGCATTGAAAATTTCAGGACAGCTACCTTTAGCTTGGTAAAGCCTTCCAGTCCCACCAGAGGAGTTTTCTGGAATTTGGTTTTCATAGAGGTTTGCCTAACGCAATTTGCTTCCATTCCTGCTGCTCTCCTGATACTCCAAAGTCAACTCCAGAAATTTGGGGACCAAGACCAAGTCATTGCAGTGTTCTCACATTTTCTCCTCATCTACTTTTATTTTTATGTCAATAATTTAAAAGTCCTATCATTTTTTTTATTATTATTTTTTTTATCTTTTGCTTCCTGTCTTCTCATCACGTCCAAGTGATCACCAGAGGTCTTTTTCAGTAGGGACCTATAGTCTGGTTAGAAGTTCCAGCTGAGAAACAAGAGTTCATTTGGGCATCTGTTCTAATTTTGGGCCTAAGTTTTGCCATGTGTGATGGAGAAAAGAGTAATAATATTACTTTTGATTTTTCAAAGAAAAAGTAATTGTTATGGAAAAATGTGTCTTACAGGGAGGTTCAGTAAGGGTTTAGACACAAAGTAATGTTTAGAAATTCAGGATGAGTTAAGAATATTCAGGCTTTATTAGGTCACGGAGAGATTAGACCATGTTCTTCTACAAACCACTCTTTGCTATTCTGGCAGATGCTGCCTACTGGGCTGATGGGTCGCTGGTCTGTGGCCAAGTGTCGCCCTTCAGCCATTTTCTTGATGTCATTGTTCTGTTGTGATCAAGGCCAAAAGACTCAGATCAAACCCTGTCACCAGCCTGGAGATCATGTCACCCAGCTCTCGTTCCTATTCAGAAGCATACCTTGTCCATACTTACCTGACAGGGCTGTGATGATTTTTCTTATTAGTTATTAAATAATATAAACCATGCCTCTTTTTAGGATAGATTGGTGTGGCTGACCGTGGTGATGAATTATCATGATAATAATTATTTTGTTGAGTGACTACTATGTACCAAGCACTGTAAACATTAACTATGATAATGTTACATAGTTATCTCATTTAATCCTTCCCCAAAACTTTCAAAATAGATATTATTATTCCCATTTATAGATGAAGAATCTTGGTTTTGAAAATGTTGACTGACTCCTCGATAACCACACAGTTCTACCCGATTCCAGAGCCTTTGGTGTTTCCCTGAGCTCTGCTGCATTAGAAGTACTGAATATAGTACCTTCATGATAAAATAGCTATAATCTGCACAAAGGAAAGATGACTACACAGGCAATTAAAGAAAGGCTGTCTTCTCTCTTGGCTGACATCAACTTTGGACATTTAAATTGTGTTATTCAGAAGTAATCAGAACTACAACTTTTCCTATTTTGTTTTTGCCTCCTTTGAAGAGAATTTTACCCTTAGGAAATTTCATCAGATATGCTAAACTTATTTTAGTTCAAGTGATTGTCATCTATTCCTGTCACTTTTAACCAAGTAATTTAGAACTCAGCAGTGACATATTTACCGCCTTTGCAGGAATTCATATGAATCCAAGAATAAAGAAGGATGGAAAACTCCAACATTAGAATTTTTCCAAAGATTTTAATATAGATATTACACATTTTGGACAACAGCCATGGATGTAACAATCAAGCTTTCTAGACCCTGATTCTTTTCAGTATCTTTCTTTAAAAATTATTTTTAACTTGCATGACCTTAAAGCAGAATATCATGTCAACATGCCATACCAACTTTCACTCCCATGTATTTCTTTTATTGTTTCTTAAAACTAGATAATTTTGTCTTTTACATTTCATTCTCTGTTTTTATTTTCAGAAGTTATTGTTCCAACACCTGAAGGTTCCACCATTTTGGTTTCCAATGCCTCTTTGACCACATCCGTGCCCACCCCTGTTATAAATAGTACACTTGCCCCCACAGCCCTGCAAACTATCTTTTCAGTAAGCTCTGCTGAAAACAGCACGTCAGCTTTAGCCGATGTATCATGGACCCAATTTAACATCATCATTTTGACCGTCATCATCATTGTGGTGGTGCTGCTGATGGGATTTGTGGGGGCCGTATACATGTACCGGGAGTACCAAAACCGGAAGCTCAATGCCCCCTTTTGGACCATCGAGCTGAAAGAAGACAATATCAGTTTCAGCAGCTACCACGACAGCATCCCCAACGCGGACGTGTCAGGACTGTTAGAGGATGATGGCAATGAAGTGGCTCCCAATGGGCAGCTGACCCTGACAACACCCATGCACAACTACAAGGCGTAGGGAACCAGGACTGAGCTCCGGGATGGCTGGACCGCGTCGGACCCGGGGACACACAGACCTGGGCGGAGCTGCTGCGAAAGCTCAGGCACGTAGTGCGTCCGGAATGCCAGGTGCAAATTCATGAGGCACTTAGCCTATTGCTCTGTTTCCCCAAGAAGATCTGAAGTCGTCACTGTCAATAAGGACTTGAAGTAAAGTATATTTTTGTACCGAACCACATGGGAGTATCGAAAGGCTGAACCCCGTACTGCAGCCCCAATCCACTCTGACCTCCAAATAGACTCCCGGGGAGTGTTCGCTCAGCCAGTGGAAACAGGACGTGGACGTGGAGGGCTGAGGACAGCCAGAAGACTTCATCTCCATTCCTGAAACTTTTCTTAAAGAGGAGGGTCAGGGATGGTATTCATTTTACTGTACTAAACGACATCATTGAGGAAGAGCTGATGTCTGAGCTGTGTCACAATAAACAACCTGGATTGTTTCTAGAATGGGAGTGGAAAAGGCCTACGAAGGTCTTTAGAGAAGTTTGATTTTTCCTTCCAGAATTCTTGCTTGAAAGTAGGATTAAGGCACAGGGAAAGCTTCTGATGTCAGAGAGAGGAAGGCAACCTCTGGAGCTGGGAGCTGGTAGTCCTTCTTAGGGTCTCCATGTAAATGATAAATTGTCTAAAAATAGGGAATATTCTTGCCTCTAGAGAAATAAGTGTATATAGTTAATGTAGCATATCTGGTCAACATTGTATTTGTATCTATTTGTAAAAAAAAATCATGTCATATTTTATCATCTAGAATGTATTTGTACAGCAGTTAATGGTGTTGTAAAAAGAAAATATGGGGATTGGTTAAAATACTGTAAAATAGATGGCAATATTGCTAGAGCTGGGACTCTGGTGAGCATCAGTCATTTTTAGTCCCTCTTTGGACATTGTTGAAATTTGTAAGAGGTTGAATGTTTCTAATCTTTCTCTCCCTTTCTCAATCTAAAAGTAGAGTTATGTGTTCTTTGACTTATAGATTCAAGCAATAGATTTTGAAGTCAGTGATTGTTAAGCTGGGACATGGGCTGCACTCTCCAAGCTACTCATCTGATTAGCCATTAGCCACTCTATATATTTTACATAGATTAATGTAGAACATGTCCTCATTAAAAAATGGTCTTCCAAAAGAATTGGGATATTTTAGTTCCAAAAGAAAAGCCATCATAATACTTGGGGTCCCCTGTTTTCATGTCTATGAAATATTTATATTTCTCGTCCCCTTCTCAAAACAATACCTCCTACATTGGAACATAGCCTCACCCTCATGCCATGAGGTGGGTACCATCTCTCTGCAGTGCTCCACTTCTCCGACCTTCTTGTCCAGTTAGAGCATCAGTTCTCAACCTGTGGGTCGCGACCCCTTTGGGGGTCGAACGACCCTTTCACAGGGGTCACCGCATACTTGTATGTGGGTCTGGAGACAGATAGAGGAGCGGTGTCTCGGTTCCTAAGACCATCGAAAATATGTGTTTTCCGATGGTCTTAGGCGACCCCTGTGAAAGGTTGAGAACCGCTGAGTTAGAGGGTAGCAGTGCAATTGAGTGAACGTGGTTAATCCTTGCTTTTAGGTACAGTTTTGTCTAGAGGCCATCCACTGTTGCTCTCATCTGTTATGCTATTCACCAGTCGTGGATTCAACAAGCCAGGAAAAGCAGCCAGAAGTCAAATGCAGGTATTTATTAGGAGGAACAGCTGTCAAGTGGTTAGAAAAAAAGTAAAGACTTATTAGACCTAGGAAATCCAACTTGACAACTTTGTGACTTCCCCAAGAAAAACCTGGAATTTGGCCTCCCCTCTGTAGGAGACACTCCGTTGTTCTCAGGGTTTGGAGGTGATGCTCTGGAGGGTGTACTTTTAGACAGTGTACTCCTGGTGACCGGAGGTGCTTCGGACGTTCGACCATTGCTCACGAGTAGAGATTACATTATATTACAATAAGCTCATGTTTCTATAGCCCTTTGCAGCTTGCAAAGCATCTTCCCATCTGTGTGTCTTTTGTTCCAAACCATAGCCCCTTGAGGAAGTAGTAGTCGTCCCATTTTATAGATGAGGTTAAATGTCTTGTATAAGGCTCACACAATGTGTCATTACTAGGCTTGGAATTCGGAGTCTTAACTATGAAGCACGTATTCTTTCAACTATGTGCTAATGCAGAAATTACATAGCCACAGACACAGAAGGCTGGGAGGAAGAGTCCCATCTGTGAATGTTTCTAATTTTTGTGAGTACAAGGTGCCATCCAGGGCCATACGGCTATGAAGGACTGTGGAAAGAACACAGGAGGATTACTATCTGAAGCCAGTATTGGCCATAAGAAAATAAAAATAGCAGTTTGTGCTTCATTAAAGTGAATTACCCCTTCCAAGCAGGGAGAGAAAACCTGCTTTCCCCAGCAGCTGCCACATACGTGTGTATAGACTGTGCACTGCACAATGATAAAGAATTGTGCAAAGTTGTGTACCTGCCTTTCTCCTAGATTATCACCCCCTCAAAGCTAGGGATTAAGGATGCTGAGAAACAGACATTTGTTAAACAGAAGTTAACCCAGTAGAGAAAGAAGGATTGTTTATTGGGGTCTAAGAGCTAAAACCAAATCATCTGGATTCTGGCCATGTAGAGATTCCTTGAAATAGACTTTAAAAGAAATTGCAAAAATTGAATCACAAAGAATGTTTACCTTTAAATACTTACAAACTGTCCAAGATCATGTTTTTAATTTTTCCCAATGGAAAAAATTAAAGACTTAAGTTTAAGAAATATTATTTTGTGTCCCCTGCTTCTTGGTGATGGAAATAATTTTGCCCTAAAATATAAATCTATCATGAAGTGATTTACCACCAAAATTAGACTAGAAAATTAGCATGGAATGCATTACATAATATTCATGATCCCCATAAGGACAGCATTCAACACCAGGATCCCATCAGCCCTTTAGAAAGACTAATATTGGCGTAGTTTTTATCTAAAGATTAGAAATGTGTTTATTTTCAAATAAGACTTGTGTGAATCTTATTGATAAATGACAGATACTGCTATTAAGTGATCCTTGTATCTTCACTATTTCATTTTAGTAAACCTTTAAGCATTCTTGACAGATGTCCTAGGTGGTGGTGTTAAGTATGTCTGTCCTCATTTTCCCCTGAGTCTAGCTCCCAGAGGTTGCTTATTAATGGAATTTCTCCAGTTATAGAGAAAAATGATAATAAAACTAAACCTCATTTATACTAAGGTCCTATGGACTTAATTTGTTACTCTTAGGGATACCTGCATTTTAAGAGAAGAGAGCAGATATGGGATGGGAGGAGAGAGATTTTTTTGAGGGGAGAGGATTTGTAGAAGTGTCAAATTACATAGCACTTTCTAGCCCTAATATTCGCGGGAAAATTGACTGTGGAAGCAACACTCACTGACCCACAGTTCATTTTGGTCAGCTGAGTGCCTTCAGGACATCTAGCCCTCTTGTACTGTTTTGGAGGCAGAGAGCTAAAGCACCAGTACTTCTTCCTGAGTTATTAGATCATTCACCTTGGTCCTGTGTTGTTGGTAGGACACGTGATGAACATAACACCACTTGTAACGAACATTCTCTGGTTCGTACATTTTGAGGTATATGGGTAGGTGTTGAATTTACACACCTCAAGGACAGCTCTCTGACAAAAGTGCAGAGATGTAAACAACCCTATGTAACCTATTCGAGCAAGGATAGCACTTCGGGCCTCATCCATGAAGAACCGTTGGTCTGTTACAACCTTCTTGATAGTAAGGAGTTTGGGAGCTAAAATGAGTTTGCTGTGTGCAGGGGAGTAATGGAAAGGTAATGCAAGTTTCCTGTGTAACCCTGACCCAGTGACTATGCCAAGGAAAAAAGCAGGAAGAACACGCTGATTCATCTGAAGAAGTCAAATACTATCAAATGAACTAAAGGTTATGGATCATTGAAACGTCACTGGTTGAATGATGCTTTTCCAAAGGCGTTTGGGATCTTTCTTGCTACTTATGCATATGCAGCCCTAGAATGTGAGCCCAGGGCTTCAGATTTAAGTTAGTTCAAAAGCTAAATGATTTAAAGTAAAGTGAAATTTGAATGCTGGGCACAAGCACTCTGTAATACATTAAATTTCAGCCCAAGCAATTAGGGAATGTTTCTGAAACATTAAACTTGTATTTATGTCACTAAAATTCTAACACAAATTTTAAAACCATGTCTCATACATATGCTGTACTAGGCTTCATGATGCATTTCTAAATTTGTGTATGATTTGAATATATAAAAGAATTTATACAAGAGTGTTATTTAAAATTATTAAAAATAAATGTATATAATTTGTACCTATTGTAGATTTGTTGTTTTACTTTTTTATGCGGTCAGAGTTGTTGGAAGTCTTTGAATAGATATCACAGATCATTTATTTTCAAACAACTTCATGAAAATCTTTGTACCCCTTCATTTATTGCTTTTTGTTTTGAAAAGTTCCTTTAGAGAATGTTTTCCACTTTGGGAAAAAAACACCACATGAGAAGATTCCATCTCTTAGAACAAAACAAAACACCGGAGAAAAAGAGCCTATATTAACATATATTCTGTTTTGTGCTTTTGCTTCTCCTCTCAGATCCATTGGGATTTCCATGAAAATGTTATAGAAAAAAGTTGCTCCTTTTGGATTTCTTTTTCATACAAGTAAAAATTGTCCTTTCTGTGGTATAAATTCGAAGGGCCACAGTCATGTTCTATGTGTTTATTAGATACCTGGTAATGAGAGTACATTCTTTTCTTATTTTGATAGAGCCTCTATTTTGACAAAGCTCAGTGGTGGTTAATGGCATGCCATTTAGAGATCCAAGGGGTACTTTGAAAAAGAAGAAAAACTGAGCCAGGCCTTTTTTAGTATTGAAAGCTTTATAAACTTAGTTTGTTCAACTTCAGTTGTTGATATTTAAACTTTAAAACCCTGTTTTTCTTTTCTAGTCACACAGAAAACAAGTTTTATTACCTTATAATCCCACCCTATACACTTATACATGTGGTTCTATACATGTAGTTCTGTGATGTACATGAACTGGGTATTATTTTAAGGAAACAGAATTAGCATGGCAAAAATCAAACAAAGCAAATTAAAATTTCAAGAGAAAGTAAATGATTCTACAAATTTACCACAAGAGGAAACATTGTCAAAAACATTATTTTTATAGTATTGTAGTCATACTTTTGATGAAAGTCTATCAAGTAAAGACATTTACTAGATTGCATTATCAAAAATGGTTATATTTATTGTCCATAGGAGTATAAGATGCATGTGTTTTAAAAAATTACACATGCTTCATCATAATTAAATTAGCAACTTTAAAGTAATAACTGTGCTTAGTTACATTAAAAAAGTTAAGCTAAATTCAAAACAACAAAATGTTATAGTTACCAATTTGTATTGTCTCGTCCCTTCCCCTTCTCCCTCATCCCCGCCCCCTCCCAACTAGCAACCTCAGTTTTTCCTCTGTGTCTCTGAGACTATTTCTGCTTACATTTCTCATTTCTTCAGTTCTTTAGAATCCACGTATAAGTGAGACCATATGGTATTTGTCTTTCGCTGAGGGGTGAAAAGGATAACTATTGCATTGTTTTGTATACCTGAAACTAATAATAATAAAAAAACAAACAAAAAACAAAATGTTTTTCATGAGATGATAGTATTAGGAGTGTTAACTGCCAGGCTGAAAAGCAACATTGTCAGTGAGTGTTTAAAAAAAAAAATCATAATTTTACCTATGTTAGTTTTTCAAGGCAGTTTTATAAAGAAATTGTAATTATTGTACGGGCTTTCTAACACTTCCACTTACAAAACAAAATCCATCAGACAATAGTAAATTTAAATTGTGTTGCCTGCTTGTATTAACAAGTAGGTTTTAAACCTTGTATGTTGAACACCAAACTTCTGACAATTGCAGAAAAAAACAGGCAAAATATTTTCTCTGTATGTGGTAAGAGCAGGTTTGGGTAATAAAGGAAGTGTTTGGGAGGAAATCTTCTTTTGTGGTTTCGTTTGTATTGTCAGACCAACTGCTAAAGTTTTCTTTGTCAGTGTTGTTTTCCTTAGTTTCTGCCCCAAATAAGGAAGAGTCATAGCCCTTCCTTATATTCACTACCATCCTAACCCAACCATGTTAATTAAACTCATGTATAATTTTCTGTGTACGAGTATGCCAGGGTACATGATGTCGTTCTCCCTTTGCTGGCACTGTTTTTTTTCTATCTATAACATCCTAGAGAATGTTTCTTCATTTTCTGCAGCCCCTTGATAAAAGGAAGTTGATCAATCCTAAATTCTATCTCTATTTTGTCGAACGAACACTTCTCTCATTGCACACATTTTGTTGTAAATACTTGTTATTTTATGTCTTCCTCAGTAGACTTCGTATTCC